ACACACACACACACACACACAATACACAGCAAATTTACTTATTTAGTGGTACTGGATATTGATTTCAGGACCTTCACACTGATTACATCAACAGCCTTTTAAAAAATCTTTTATTTTAAGACAAGGTCTTGCTAAGTCATTGAGTTGAAAACTTTTAAGCCTCCTATCTTAACCTCCCAGGGTAGTGTATTTACTGTATTTAATGAGCACAAAACTATGGAAGAAATAACATATGATATTTGCTCTTGGGTGGCGTATTATTGAATAAAAATCTTTATTAGCCTTCTTAGAACTGCTGAAAATGAAATGCTAAGCTAATTATAGAAAACCATGATCTGATGAGTATCTTCTTAGGAGAGCAACACATGGAAGGACTCAGAAATTGGCTCTGGAATTAAATCCAGACTCCTCAACTAGTGTCTGATGAAATCAGGCAAACACTTCACAGTCTGATACCCACATTAGGGATAAAGTGAACACAGTCTCCTAAGTGTGGTGTAAAATTAGATTAGTTAGCAATAAATCAGCCATAAGGTAAATCTCTATAAAGGTCAGCTATTTGTGTGAACACAAACTATCTCTGAGATCTTAAAAAAATATTTATGTTATTATTGGTCAAGATCAATAACTCTATTGAGAAAAATATTAGCTCTAAACATTAGATCTCAAATAGTTGTCAGTGTGGATGTTTATAGAGGTCTGGTTCTTTCAATGTCACAATTAAAAAACATGAAAGAAGCATTAGCCAACAATATGAAAGAGGAAGCATAATATTAGGCAAAAATAGTAATGTACATTGGTCCAGAATAGTATACATGCTTTTCTTTTAAAGCATCAATTGTTGTATCCTTAGCATTTGGCATATGGCAGATATACAGATATATAGGTGTTTATGAGATTTCAGACATGTGAAATACAATTTCATAGAAATCTAACCATAATCATTCATTCAAATTCTCCAAGGCAAATATGATAATAATGTCTTAATTTACCAGAAAATAATAGTATTGAGTTGTCTTCTGAAGGACTCAAGAGTTTTAACAAATGAATTGTCCATTTGACTAATGTACTTATGTCTTCTGAAAAATATAGTTGCAGATTACTATCCATTAAGCTAGTGTCAGTGTCAGTGCCAGTGCCAGTGCCAAACTCCTCTCAAAGTTGCTATACTTTAACAGAAAAAGAACACAGATCTAATGTGGCATGTTTATTTGGTTAAACAATGACCGTGACTCATCCACATGGCTAACATTGACAAAGGATCTACAAACTGCAGTACAGGGTTTTAGGAGAAATCCTCAGGGGATTTGACTGATCTTATCAGATACAAAAGTTACATTTCTGATTGTATAGGTCTTGCTTTATCTTGGTCTTAACCATCCAGCAGAAAAGTATAAAAACGAAGTAAAAAAATAAAGCCATATTAATATGCTGAGCTGCAAAGGCTAAAGTCAACAAATTCTGACATTGCCAGTCTTATGGAAAAACCCACTACTATTATGGACTACTGGACTATATTGGAATATTTTGCTGAATTCATGCACCTATAATATTTAAATGACAATGGAATACCCTTCTCTGACAAAACTAAACAAAAAGGGGGATACAAATGAATGATCACTTTGTATCTGTATATTCAAAATAGGATAGATATATAGCTGAATTCTCTTAATTCAATAGAGAGATTTGTTCTAATAGTGTTTGTGCACAGAATATCATGTCTACATCTTGTACAATGAATAACCACTAAGACAATAATATTCAAATGTATTAATTATTGAAACTTTCCTACTAATTGGTTTTGAAATTGTCTCATTGCTATTTATTTCTCAATAAAATTATTAAAAAAATAATTTGGCATGTTTTCCTATCTATCTATATACAAATCTTCAGTTACCAAAGCTATGTCAGGTCTTCAGTAATAACATAGTAAAATACGAAAAAAACAAATAGCTTGTTTTGTTTTCTTTAAAACAAGTAACTTAAATGATTATATGTTATACTAAATGCTACAATAAAGGACACTAAGGACTGAGATTGAGAAAATAGGCAAGAAATACCAAGAAAGTTTAAGACAGGCTGCACATTAGAATCCTTTGGGGAACTTTTGAAAATTATAACTGTGTTTGCTCCAGATCTCAGGAAATTTTGATTTGGCTGGTTTATTTATTTTTTTTCTGTATTTTTTAGAGAAGGGCCTACAGTGTGTTTAGGGCCTCACTACTAGATCAGACTCGTAGTGATTCTGTTTACAGTCTTCCAAGTGCTGGGATTACAGGCATGTGCCACCATGCCCAGTCTCATTTAACATCTCAGCCTGCTTTGGGGGTGGGGCTGGCATGGCAGGCCCAGGGATTTGACAGGTTTAGATTTGGGCATTTAAAAAAAGTTCCTGGCCAAGCAATGGCCGTGACTCATCCACATGGCTGACAATGACAAAGGTTCTACAATCTGAGGTACAGGATCTCAGGATAAATCCTGAGGGCATTTCACTGACCTTCTCAGACCAAAAAGCTACAA